CTGCTCCTCTTCTGCTGGTGGGTCGCAGGCCCGCCTACCTTGCAGGAGTGATTGGAAGCTCTGTCCCGCCTTGGGCCACTGGGCCTTTTCTGTTGGTGGTCACCGTTCCACCTACCTCGGTTCAACTTCTCTTTTTCTTAAACATTTTTTAGTTGCCGATGGAGCTTTATTTATTTATTTTTTGCTTATTCTTTTTTTTATTATTAGTTGTTCAAAACATTACAAAGCTCTTGACGTATCATATTTCATACATTTGATTCAAGCAGATTATGAACTCCCATTTTTACCCCGTATACATATTGCAGATTCACATCGGTTACACATCTACTTTTTTTACATATGCGGTGCTGAGAATCGAACCCAGTGCCTCACACATGCCAGGCAAGTGCTCTACAACTACTCTTGCACACTTCTCCTAGCCTACCTCGGCACACAAAAAAGAAGCCACATTGGTATATAACTTGTCTTACCAAATGAATGCATTTCTCATTCTTAACTTTAAAACTTCTTCTGAATGTGTCCATTTAAAAACAAATCAAGTGCTTTAAATGCATGGAAGAAAATTGTCTTTGAAAAGAATCATACCTTATAGACTACTGGAAAAGATTAAGTGGTTCCAAGTTTATTTGTTTGTTGATAAATCTGGATTTTTGTATAATGAACATATTTCTCTCCCCAAAACAAATTTTATATCCAAAACTGTTGCACCTATTATGTGCAAACTACCATCCAGGCTTCAGGAGGGAAGAGAGTATTTACAAAGATGGATCAGACACAGCCCTAAGGCTGCTGGGGGCCAGCAGTTGTTGGCAGCTGCTGGAGTCTTGGTAGTTCAGGGTCAAATTGGTCAAAGTGAGGGATCCAAGCTCCACAAAGACCAGGTAGAGCCAGCTTCAGCTGAGCATCGGTCCCTAAACTAGGCCAAGCAAATATGCCACCTCATTGCCAAGGCACCTCTCCAGGATGTTGGAGGCCTCGCCACCAGCAACAATAGTTGGTCCCTGCTGCCAGCTCCCTTCCTCCCCAGACTTGGCAGGAGACAGCACAGGACTGGGGAGGAATGTGTGGCACTTGAACAATCTTTCTCATTGAACCTTGCATCCAGTGAGAAAATTTCCTGTCAGTGAGGAAGTCTTTGAATTCACAAGGACAAGAGGATCTTTGTGTCTTTGTTGTTGTTAAGTGTAGTAGTCTTAAGGATACCTAGTAATTTGATATAGGGGTTCTCTTCTGGTTCCCTAATTAAAAACTGTTCAGGTGTCAAAGTTTACTCGTAACCTCTGACTTACATGTGAAGGCATTAACAGCCCCCTGGTTAACATTGGATAAAGTCAGGGTTACCAGGGCTTTCCATGACAAGCTAACCCCAGAGGCTATGCTGACCACCACAGAAGTTTCTCTCTCCACATGTGTTAAGGGCAGCAGCAGCAAGAGAGGAAGCACTCAGTCCACAGCACACAGAACCATGTGATAGGACAGTTGGCATGGTGTGTCTCCATTACAGAAGCATCTTACACTGGGTGAGGGGTGTGTCAAGATTCTATACTTGGCATGCTCCATAAAAAATTACTTAATGGGAAAACCCTGTGTTTGCCTAATTGAAAAGTAATATATACACAGGTAAGAGTGCAAATCTTGCAACCTTGTAAAAGACAGTTTATGGAGGGGAAAAACTGGTGAGCTGGAGCCAGAAATCCCAGCTCTCCTTTGTAAATATTCATCCTTGGATGAATACAGTCCTCATCTGCATAGTCCCCATCTGCACAGTGGGTTCAGAGAGCAAAGAGAGCAGAAAATGCAAGAGGTAGACCAGGCCACCTATACCCAATATGTCTGGCCTTTCTGGAAAATTCTCAAAATGGGAGCAAAACTTTTTTTTTTTCTTCTCTTCATTTTCCAGTCATTGATTCTACCAACATAAAAAGTCAAACTTTAGAAGATGTGCGGGGAATCTCACATTCACCTTTCCAGGTGACTTTTGCCCTGGAGCTGAATATTATGGGCTGCAATCATTGGATCTCTTGCTCTCTGGCTTCCTGTTGGATTTGGCCAATAGGAGGCACCTGTGGGAGACCAGAGACTGGGAGAAGAGTGATTCTGCTGGCTCCTGTACCATTCTGACACCTGAGGACAAGAGATGTTCAGGGTGGACATCCAACATGGCCGAGTACCAGTACTCACAGATATCTATGTTCTTCTCTACTCCACTTAGATTATATTACTCAGCCTCCTCACACCTAGATGGAGCTATATGACCAGATCTTGCCAGTGGAAAGGACTCTGGTTAGGAGATGAGCTAGGTGAATCTTCTCTATGCCCTTTCTTCCCTTATCAGCTGCCCTGAGGCAAGGGATCCAGGGGAGGACCCTGAGGTCCTACAGGATAGCTCTATCTCTAGATAGGAAGAGCTGGTGCCCTGAACAACTGCGTAGGGCCAATGCCACCATATTGGACTATAATATGAGCAAAAAACAAACCAGTGCTTTGGCACACCTCTGGGATTTGGGGAGTATTGATTATAATAGTAGTTAGCCCACCCAGACAAACACCAGACTGACTATAATCTTTGACCTTTCATCTTCTTTGAATATAACTATTTTTCTTCAAACAGCCAAACTCCTAATGATATCTAGGATTTCAGGCAAGAACGTCTCCCATGCCCACATGATTACTGGCTCTAAAGTTTACTTAAAAGTGTTTAAGGCAATTAATTTCATAAACAAACAAACAAAAAGTAACAAAACAAAAGCAGCCAAGTAGCCACCTACAAGACACTACCTACCCTTCGAGTGACAGTTGGATCCCGCTGTGCTTTGGAGATGAGATGTCCAAGCAGGGTGTTGGTTCGAAGAAAGCGCAAGCGGATGTTTGTTGCCTTAGTGAACTCCCGGAGGGTGTGGGAGAAAGTAAAATTTTTTGCACCTGGACGACCGTTTATCAAGGAAACCACCACCTAAAATAACCACACAGATGAAGGAGAGGAAAGTCCTTTCATTAACGTTTAACAGCACGTGACTAAAAACAACACACTCCAAAGCATTTGGTTGTTTGGCCCCATGAGATGTGTGTAGGTAGACTTGGATCTTGTTTATGTCTAAGAGCATCTTTGCTAATTGCATCTTCCCTCCCTCTTCCTCCTTCCAACTTCTGGCACTATGTCCTTGACACTTGGGCTCTCCAGAGATGTTATCACTGCATTTTCAAACCCTTTGTTCTATCAGCATAGTTGTGGGACTGTAACACTATGAAATATTAAAGATTTAATGTTAGGTCTACAATTATAAGGTAATAACTTTGTCAACCTCTAGCAAAGAGGATAAAGGTTGAAGTAATCTAAATGTCTAAATGAGGTTAGAAAAACTGACCAAAAAAAAAAAAAATCTGTATAAAGCCTAGTTTTTGTTTTAAATCTTGAGCTGGTGCAATCTATGTCTCAACCATTCAAAACATAAACTTCTCACCAAGTGGAAGACATTGGATATAGCTGCTCAAGTAAGAGCTCTCTACTTAACAAAGAGGAAGAATGACACTCTTAGTGGAAGTTAATTTGTAACTCAGTTCATTTTCATTGTGGCCTCACCATAACCATGGATGTCTCTGATTTTCCCCACCAGTTTGTCTACCTCCCCTAACAACAGCCAGGCTGATTTCACAAAAGAACCAAATGAAACTCTAAAGGGACAGCATTTTCTTTCTCCCCAATAGATGATGTCCACCCTGCCAAAAGGGGTCAGGGCTTAGCACTGCCCCTTACCCTTCATCTCCTCACTCATAGTGGGGATAATGTGTGAAGAGGTGGGAGTGGTCATTACTCCAGTTACCAGTGACCCATTTTCTAAATATATTACCAGAAAGAAAAGCTCAAGACCTGTGGGCCTTGATTCTCAAATCCTGACTTCCCAGGAGAATTCAAGACCCCAAACAGAATTTCCAACCCAACTCATTCTGGGAGTCCTTCATGTGATTCCTTTATCACCAAGTCTGAAGTACTTACTGGTTTCCATTTTAATCTATATTAGATCTACTTGAAAGTACAATTTTCATGATTATGAAATATTTGACATCCTCATGTTCATTTCTAAGTCCCACCTCTCAGAGCTTCCTACATCTACTTACCTCACCATTTTCCAAAGGTACAATGCGGGAAAATTCAGTAATACAGAGTACGTCATCATCCCGGGTGATAGCTTTATTTGCCTGCTGCCCAAATTGTTCCAAACAGTCTCGTTTAGAATCTAAGAAGAAAATATTTTAATATTATAAAATTAAATATTATCATTTTTTGGTAAATTGCTTAAGAAGTTTTTTTTTTCCTTAAGAACATACATGAAAAGAGAAAGAATTAGAGAAGTCTTAGACTTTTAGGTGAAAGCTTAGAATGAAGTTTTTAATTCATGAAAGAAACTACGAATCCATTTCAGGCCCCTCAACTCTTAGGAGCAATGTTTGGAGATGTGGTGTTAACTCCTCATGCTTCATGCTTCATAAGGCAAGTTTATCCTCTAAGGAGGCTGCATGGAAACCCAATGCTCTTGAAGGGAAAATTCCTGTCCACCTCAATTTGTCATAGGGTCCAGAGACACTGACATTCTTGAAGAGATGGTAAATAATACACTATGCAAGATCCATAAAGATGGAACTTAGTTGCTAGTTCTATATAAAGAGGAAAGAGCTGCTTTGGCTCAGTAATAAGTAACCCCTGAAGTAGTGACAAGAACTGTTATCATAAAAGGAGTTTTATGTATCATAAAAGTCAGCTCTGTGTGTGGGATCCTTGGAATTCATACACACACATGCTTGAGAAATGCGGATATTCTGAGGATAAGTTAAGTGGTTAAAATTGACCATTCACTACCCAGCCACACTGCAAGACTAATTTTTCTAAGTAAATCCATAGTCCTGATTGGTTACAAATAATTAAAGCCACTCATTACTTACGAGCAAAATACTGCCATGGTGAGTAGGTGTTCCCAAAGTCTACAGACCTTTCCAAGACCCAAAGATCAGGGCGAGGAGAATTTGCAAATTTGATTAAAATATAGGCCACGTGGAATAGCTGACAAAGCAAAAGAGATATCATTATTAAAGTCTCCTCATCTGTCCACAGCTTCAACCATTTTTCTACAGGATGCTGATTCCTAAGGCAACACATCCAGCCACAACCCCAGTCCCAAGATGCAGATCTTTTTTTTCTAACTGCCTATTGGACATCTCTACCTGGGCATAACTTCTCAAGCTTATCATGTTCAAAACCAAAATCATCATCTTTCTCCATCAAATATACTCATGGAGCACCATCTTTGTCACACTTTAACCATTATACCTTTGAACTTGAGCCAACCAACACAGCATCTTCAAGTCTACCAAGTCTATACCTCAAGTCTATATATCAGAGAAGTCTGCTGGCAAGCAATGGCAAGAAGTCCAGGGCCAAGAGCCAATAGTATAATCTAGAGCCTCTCCTAGGAGTTTTATAACCCCTAGGTCCAGGTGTTGGAGAGATCTGAGGCCACAGCTGTTGAGTGGGGTGGTAGCCTCTTCTCCCCTGCCCCATCTCCACTGGTCTCCTCTTTTCCTGATTGCTTTTCCCCTTATTAATTTCTCCTTGTAAAAACTCTCATCACTCAGTATGTTTTTATTTACCACCACCATTGCAGTGTAACTTGCAGTGGATTCTTACCCAGGGCTCTGGCTCAACAGCAAATCCCCTCTGAGACTTGCATATTCAAAATGTTGCTGTGAGAGACAAACCCACATAGATACAGTCACCTTTCAACAAAGTGCCCAAAACATACCTTAGAGAAAAGATAGCCTTTTCTCTAAGGTATGTTTTGGATATCTGGGAAAATTGGATATCCATAAATAGAAGAATGGAACTAGATTCTTATATATCACTCTTCACAAAACTCTACTTAAAGTGGATCAAAGATTAGGAATTAGACTAACTTAGCAACTGCTAGAAGAAACGTCAGGTCAATACTCTAACATATTGGCACAGGCACCAACTTCCTTAATAGGACCCTTGAAGCTCAAGAAATAAAAGCAATAATCAATAAGTAAGGTAGCATCAAATTTAAAAGCTTCTGAACAATAGAAGAGAGCCTACAGAATGTGAAAAAATTGTTACCAGCTACTCCTCCTACAGGGAATAAATAACCAGCATACATAAAGAACTCAAAAAGATTAACACCCAAAAATAAAAAATCCCAATCAATCAATGGGCCAAAGAATTAAACAGACATTTCTCAAAAGAAGAAATATATGAAAAAATATTTAACATCCCTAGCAATCAGTGAAATACAAATCAAAACTACATTGAGATTTCATCTCACTCCAGTTAGAATGGCAGTCATCAAGAGTACAAATAATAAATGCTGGGCAGGATGTGGAGGGAAAGGTACACTCGTACATTGTATGTGGGCCTGCAAATTTGTACAACCATTCTGGAAAGCAGTATGTTGATTCCTCTAAAGACTAGGAATGAAACCACCATAGGACCCAATTATCTCACTCCTTGGTATCCAAAAATACATACTATAGGAATGCAGACACATCAATGTTTATAGCAGCACAATTCTTCAGAGCCAAGTTACTGAACCAGTCCAGGTACCCATCGACAGATGAATGGATAAAGAAAATGTTTTATAAACATATAATGGAGTTTTACTCAACTATAAAGAATTAAATTATCTGGGCGCAGTGGCCCATGCCTGTAATCCCAGTGGCTCAGGAGGCTGAGACAGGAGGATCGCAAGTTCAAAGCCAGCCTTAGCAAAAGAGGCACTAAGTAACTCAGTGAGACCCTGTCTCTAAAAGAAAATACAAAAATTAGGGTTGGAGATGTGGCTCAGAGGTCGAGTGCCTCTGAGTTTAATCCCTGGTACCAAAAAAAAAAAAAAAATTAAATCATGGCATATTTCTGGTAAATGAATGGAAATGAAGAACATCATGCTAAGTGAAATAAAACAGAAGCAAAATCAAGGGTCAAATGTTTTCTCTCGTAAGTGGAAGTAGAGCAAAATAAAGAAAAATGGGGGACACCATGAAAATAAAAGAAAAATCAATGGAGCAGAGAAGGAGATTGGTGGGGAGGGAGGAGGGACAGGAAAAGGGAGGAACTGTGGAATGAAATTAACCAAACTATCCCATGTGCATATATGAACATATCACAGTGAACTTCACCTTTATGTATAGCTATAAAGCACCAGTTTAAAAATAAATAAATAAAAGGCAGACAGTAGAGAGAGGAAGGGCAGCAGAGGGAGGGAGGGAGGAAGGAGAAAAGGAAGTACTGGGGACCAAAATGGAGTAAATTATATTCAATGCAGTATGATTGTGTCAAAATGAACCCCACTATGACATGTAACTATAATGCACTAATAAAAACATTTTTTAAAAAAATGTTGCCGTGAGGCAGAGTGAATGATCTCTGAAGAGTGCTCTCTCCCTGGTTCAGGCATGTTAAACCAACAGAGAGGAACCCATCTATTCTTCCTGCTTATATGGCTTCTAAACAGCTCCTTCTATTAAGAGCCTTTCTTACTATCAGGTACTTATAGTTTTTACTCTTTAGCCACTGAGACTACTTCAAAGCGCACATGAATGATGCTTGAGATTTACCGATATAAAGGAGGGCTCTTCATGAAACTAGGAAGCACCAGGCTGTGGAGTTGCTCTAGAGAGAAAGGCAAAGTTGTACGTTTTCAAAGCAATAATGTTTGGGGGTCAAAGATAAGGGGGCATATATCTGAGTTGCACACCTCTTTCTGTGTGCTTTTCTAACAAACCAAAGACAGCTTGAATTTTGTGGATGATTATTTAGGTAGAAATTCAAAGTCGTTTTTAAAATGATGTTTTAATAAGGAGATTCATAATCATAAAAGATAGACTGTGACTTTGACTTCAAAAAACTTTCAGGTGAGTAGGTAAGAAAAGACAGTACCATCTGATCTTTATTTCTCTACCCGGTCTATGTTCTAAATCCTCTGAAATTACAGCTTGTGACCACTCATCATTTATTCTTTCCAGGGTCTTCTGGGATTGCATAAATGGTATAAATGAATGGATGAAAAAAATTAAGGCTGTGTAGCTGCAACTGACTCCAAGAGGCAGATGCCAGTTGCCAAACACAGAGATGGAGATGAACCACCCCCCCCCCAACTTTCTGCCCTGGTGCCTGAGCTAAGTTGTAAGAATCAACTCCTGGGGGGAGGTAATCCCTGCCCTGCCACCTACTGGCTGTGTGAGGACAAGCACATCACTTAACCACTTGCAGATTTGATTTAGTTGCCCATAAATAATAACATAAGATAATCACAAAACATACTTAAATGAATAAGGAACAATACTAGGCCAGGCATAGTGGTACATGCCTGTAGTTCCAGCTACCCAGGAGGCTGAAGCAGGAGGATCACCTGAGCCTAGGAGTTCAAGATCAACTGGGGCAACATAGTAAGACCCCATCTGAAAAACAAAAAAGGAAAATCTATTTCATGTAAATTTTATATTCTCCTTCTTACAGAGCATCTGTCATCCCTATGACACGTATTTGTTTTCATCCACTAAACTGCGACATCTTTTGGCCTTAATCATTTCTGTATTCTCAGGGTAGGTGCTGAATGCATGCTAAATTGAAATGAAATCAACAATGGGATAAGTGAAAGCACAAAAGCCTACGCGAATGAATTTAAAGTTATATCCAAAATAAGTTTCTTATCTCACTACACATTACATACATGCCCCCTCCCCCAAAAATCTTAGTTTATAATGAAAGTGAAATCAATCTGTCAATAGCTTTCTAATTTAATAAGCATATTGATCAATAAAGTAGCATTTTCTACTTAGGCCAACTTTTTATTTTAAGTGGTTTATAAATCTATAGGAAAGGGCAAAGAACATTTTGCCATGTTTGTTCCCTACACATGTGTGCAAACACATGCACACATACACATTTTTTTTTGAAAGTAAGTTACAGACATCACGACATTTCACCCTTAAGCATCTCCCAAATATATGCACATTTCTCCCACACAAACAATTTCATGCCTAAGAAATATTACTATTGAAACAGAGCCCTTTAAAATTAAAGGCAACTTCCTATTAACTGCTCTTCTACACCCCAAACTTCCTTATGGTGCAAATGGAAATTGAGAAACTACCCCCAGCCCTTCCAGGTAAGAAGAAACCTGAAACTGACAACATTTTCTGGCTAGCTCAGCTAGCTAAATCCACACATGTGTATCTCCTGCCTTTTGTTTCTATAAATTATAACCACTTCTATAGAACGGGCAGAGAAACAATCTAGCTGCTTCTCTCCAACTGGACGAAACTGCATCAAATTTATTTTTCCTTTTTACATAGTTTGCTTGTTTATTATGCAGGTGGGCAGTTGAGTCCAGTCCCCCAGGACCCAGGCAGTTTCCCTGGCTTGGCTGCTGGTAACTCTATGGGACAAAAATCTTATTTAACACACTGTTGCTATTCAAGTTTTCCTGATTCTCCTAAGCCCCACTGTATCCTTATTCCAATCCAGGATCCAATCAGTGATTCTGTGGGGCATGTAGCTGTCAGGTCTCTTTTATCTCCTTAGCATTGCCTTCCCATTATTGTCTTTCCCAATAATGACATTTTGAAGAGTCCAGAAGGTTCCCTAGTTTGTTCTGCAGTCTGACTGTTCTCAGAATCACAGAACGTTCCACAGTCCTAATTTGATCACTTTCTCCTGATGTGAATTGGGTGAAGAAGCATCCCTGGCCAGATCACAGCCTGGGCCATGCTTCCCTCTCACTGTGTCCCATCCTTCTTGCTGTGTCACAGGCTGAGAAATAAATACACTGTGACTGTGGGGAGACATTTTGAAACATTTATTAACTAAATTATAAACATTACCACTTTCCAAGCACAAAATACAAATAACAAATTACAAAAAAAAAAAACACTCAATTAAATTTATTTCATAGATGGTGACCATTTGAAAAACTTGTAAAAAAAAAAAACAGAATTTTTTCTTCCTTTTTAAAGAAGGAAAGACGCAGATAGAGTTAAACTAAATTCCAT